GAGGACAATGCAATGTGTGTGTGTGTCCATATAAAACGGATTAAAAGATTGCATATTTGAATTATATACTAATAGCGTGCATACAAAGAGCGCTATTTGGCTAACGACTGTTCTTTTCAAAGTCTCTTTTAGTTTAAAATACGTTCAATTTAATCTCATTGCAACTATATTTCAAGAAGAATGTTTGAGCCAAAAAAAAAATCAATGAGACTAGACATATTTGGTAAATGTAGTACATTAACATAATACTCCCCTCATCGCAAATTAAACTTCATAGTTTGACTTCAGGGAGTTTTAAACAAATATAGAAAAGTGAGAAGTGGTTGATTGAAATTTGTTTAGATGAGGGGAAAGTTTGTGAGTCACACATTTCATTCCTTAATAGGAAACAGGTGAAGTGTGAAGTCTATTTCAAGACGGAGGGAATAATTAAAACTTTGTCCTCTCGGAAACAGTCTCTTCGTCTCTCGACTTGGGTATAAATTTGTATTAATCTCAACCTCAAGATCCTATTCTACTACTCCCGATTGGCATTTACTAGCTTTCTTTAGTTTAGTTGACAATATTAAACTCTAAAATGAAGATATTTTACGGTAATAGATACATCTAATGTTAAAAAACAGACAAAAATAAAATGCTGATTCTCTTCATCATCATCATCATATCATTACCAGCACCTTAATCCCAGCTAGTAAGGATGGGTGGCATTACACTTATAATTCGCATTAATTAACATTATTATAAATTGATGAAAAACCCACAGTGGTAAAGTTTTAAGTCTCATGCCTGATGCCCCTCACAAAGGTCATAAGCAAGAATAAAGCGCTAAAATTTTAAAACCTTCATTATTATTTGCACGAACATAGCAAAACAATTATTTTTGAGCATGTTATATTTTTTTCTAAATTTATAAGAACGCAAAATACTAATCTGAAACGTGAGAGATGTGTAGAGCGGTATTTCATTCACAATTCAAATCTCCAAAAAAACAGAAGGCTGATAGAAGATAATGTAAGGTGGTGTTTGAGATTTCAAATTTTCAAACGAGGATCGGAAAATTCAATAAACGTCAAAAGATTGTGTTCCATATCTGGATTTTTGTTTGAGGATAACGGTGGAAGATGAAGATGAAGAAATGGAAAAATGAAATACCTTTACCCTGTGAATTGCTGGATAAAAATCATAGAAATCATGGGTTGCACTAATTGCAGGAAGATGGAGCTGGAGTTTTGCTTGAGATCAGATGTGGATTGCAGCAAATGGGGCAATTTGTTACGATTATTCTTTCTTTCTTTCTTTCTTTTGTTCAAGAACAAAACCTTCACAAATTTTCCCTCAAAAAAAAACCTTCACAAATTTATTTTTTGTAAATTTCAATAAAAAATGAAGTAGACTAAAATAATTTAAAAATGACAATTTACATCTAAAATAATATGTTTTTAAAATTTGTGACAATTTTATTTGTGAATATATAGAGGGTGTTTGGCAGTGTGCTGCTTTTAACAATTTAGTTTCTGCTTTGAGTAGAAGTAATTTTACTCTGTTTGGCATGCTAGTTTTTGCTTTTCACCAACATTATTTTATACATGGAACACCGTTTCGGAGAAGCGAGTATGAGGTACTTTTGCTTTCAGCTTTTATAGAAATCACATTATCTATAAATTAATAACTCCCAAACACCCTCATAGCATTACTCATCAAATATAGTTAGGTCGAGTGATTTGGATCACTTTGAGTTGGAATTACTTTGGATTTGGATAACTTGGAGTTGGGGATGAGAACTACGGAATACATGTTTATGATTTAGTGTTATCGAAAATCGTTCTAATAGGTTATGGCCTTTGTATATTTCTTAAAATTATAAGTAATTTTTATGACTTTGTGTTAATATTAAAAATAAGAAAAAACTATATATGTAAAATTTTGAAAAAAGAAAGAAAATTATGCGATATTACTAAATTTTGCATAAAAATATAAATTTATATATTAAAAACTAATGGTAAGAAAAGAAATATACTTATAATATTATTTTTAAAACATTATATTTTATATTAAACTAATGTTTAAGATCTATTTTATATTATATTCAATACTCCATATTTAATTTAAACTTTATAAAAAGGGAAGTGATATTATTTAGCACTCCATAATTCTTAATTTTAATGATGCTCTACTTTTTAATTTGAATTGACATTATTGCCCTTTTCTCTTCACTATAAGCACATTTGAATCCTCATGGAGATATTTCTTATGATGCTTATTGATTTATTGCTCACAAACATCTTCTATCTTACAAGTACTTTATTTAAATATTTTGTAAAAAAAAGACTTAAATCAAAGACGAGTCACTCTGAAATATGAATAAAAGATTAGAAATAATTTCATAATTAATTTGATAAAAATGGAGAAACGAGATAATTAAAAGTTATTTTATTGAAACTTAAAATTTAAAAAATGGTTAAAAATTTAACCCATACTTTATTTTAACCAACACACACAAGATTGTGATTGTGAGCTATAGTAATTATTTAAGTATGCTAACAATAAAAAAATTTATTGAAAAAAGGTTAATAATGTCAACAATTTTAAAATAAAAAAAAAGTATACTGTCCATGAGTGGTTCGAAGGGTGTGTAAATTTTGAACTGAGCCAATTTTATTTTTTTTCGAGATCCAATTACTGTCATTAAGTATTACTCCCCCCGTCCTATAATGATCTTCCCAGTTCGCAAAACGAAGAAAAATACCAAGTTTTTTCAATCTATTTCATTTAAATATTGGTATAGAAATAAAAAATAAAACATACATATTTAAAAACTATATCAAAAGTTCAACAAAACAAGTGGTGACAAGAATATTTTATTTTATCATATAGGCCATGAAAAAACACAAATAAATATAAATTTCCGTGAAGTTGGAATAATGCTCTGAAAAGATCACTATAGGACAGTATAACTTGAGAAAAGAAATCACCCTACGTAGCACTCTAACTCATATAATACTACGCATTTAGCACTGCTTATTGTTTATTTACCAAATTAGNGGGCTCTTATTCGATTTACGATGTTTGATTGAAATTATTTTCAAATCAATATTAGTAAAAATTATTGTATAATTAAAAAATAGGAATTATATATTAAAAAAACTACATAAAATTTTTTATAAACAAGTGGTGACAATGTGACTTACATATAAAACTACCAATTTATAAATTATTATTTGATTTTCATATTGTGCAAATAGCTTGTGGTTGATTTTATGACAATAGAGTTTTACCATGAAAGAGATTGTTATGAAATGTGTTACTTAATATGGTGACTATCAATATATGGGCAGTACAGATTGATCATGTTATGCAAACATTTTTTGGCAGTGAATATGTCTTCTATATATAATGTGGCAGACAAGAGTGAAAGTATGATAGTGTATAAAAGTTAGTGACCTAAACAAATTTGTATGTACTTTATTAACTTCCATTAATAATATGGCAGTGAAATTAGACATACATATGAAACTGCCAATGTTATGAATTATGAATTGAATTTCATATTGTGCAAAAGCCATGTGCTTTGTTCTATGACTATTGGGTTTGAACAATCAAGATTTCGTTATGGAAATGTGTTACAGAATAGGTGCTGATATTTTTTTGACAGTGTGGAATAATCAACTTCTAGCTACACTTTTTGGAAATGTCCTATGACCATGCTTGCCTAGTGTGTTTTGGTCGAATGGGATTTATATCTAAAAATCACAATGTAATAAATTATTCATTGAGTTTCATTGGAAGCGGACACAAAAAAATTACCAAAATGACAAGTGCTTGAATAACTTTAATAAACAAAGTATGAAGTGTAAGCTCAAAGATTTTTGGCAGTGTGGAATGCTTGTGATCTAGGTATACTTTTTGACAGTGTGTTGTGACCTATGTTTTGGCCAGTGTGCTATGTTGCACAATTTTACATAATGTTGCAGTGTATGCTGCTTACAAAGTCTTAAAATTTACAACATAATACATTCATTATCCGTTTCTTTTCACTACCACATAAATGAAATTCAACATATGTCTAATACTAACATCTTCTAACATTATTCAAAATCAAGAAAGATCAAAAAAAGCCAAGCCCATGTTTGGCCAGTGTGTTTTGGTATATAGATTATTCATGAAATTAGTCATACATTTTTGGGCAGTGTGAAATTCATAAATGAAAACAATCATATACATTTTTGGCAGTGTGGAATTCATACATGAAAATAGTGTGGAATTCATACATAAAAAGAGCTATACATTTTTTGGACAGTGTGGAATTCATAGATGAAATTAGTCATACATTTTTTGACAGTGTAGAATTAATACGTGAAATTACTGCCACATAAATCAATGGGCATTACACTACAACATGAAATTAAGGAACACAATAATACATTTACACATCGCCGTAAGATATAACAACATATATTCATTCTACACTGCCATATAAAAAACTACACTGCCCACTACACAATTACGAGTGAACAACCACACTGCCCAAAATAATCATATTTTTTGGCAGTGAATAATGAACATATACTGTTTAATTAAAGGACAAAATCGGAATTACATGTATGAAACATATAGCACTGCTATTTAGAGTATTTTAATGCTCTTAGAGTGCTATTTTGGTTTTTCTCCCACTTGAGAACGGTTCTAATCGTACGGTAAATTGACTTGATGTAGGAATAATAGTAAGAGGGAGTAAGATTTGACGGGACGCGGTGGGTTGACTTTGACGAAGGAGTAGTGGTCTGCAGTCGTCCTCTTGTCTTTACTCTTCATGGATTGGTCCGGTCATCCCTCCCTCCCTCCCTCCGTATAATTTATTTGCTCCGATCTAGTTTCTAGCTGCTTGCTTGCTTGTTCGATTTAGATTACAACTGAGTTACATTAATTAATTAATTAGCCATTAATCACCATCCAATTCAAGCAAGATAATATATAGAAAAGGCCGGAAAACCAGAAAGAAAGAAAGAGAGTTCGTTTTACTTTGAGAATAGCTGAGGGAGATTCTAATTAATTAATTAATATAATATGGGAAGTTGTTGGAGTTGTGTTGCTTCGGATGATCAGAGGCTAGCTGATGCTGCGGCTACAGGGCATCTCACTTCTCCTGCTTCTTCTTCATCATCTGGTATGTATATATGATGTACTCTTGTGGCTTGTCGCATACTCACTATACTATACTCTGTGGATTAATAGTTGGTTTCGATTTTATATGCAAATGACTAATTTTTTTTAAAAAATAGTTTTTTGATAGAAAGTCTAGAGAAAATTAAAAGAAAAATATAAGAAAGAAAAGAGTATGAGAAAAACATGTGTGAAATGTTTATTAGTGGTAGGTTGCCATGTTCCCGTGTGGTGCACTCATATATTCAGGGGTCTTGTTCGATTATTCTCTCTCAGGTAGGTTGAAGTTGAGAACAGAGAAGAATAAGCAAAAAAAAAAAAAAACCCCTTCTCCCTCTAGCTCTCTCTTTCACGTTTTAGTCTCTTACCTCATTCTATGTATCTATAATTCAATCATCAATAAATATGTGGTGGATAGATGAATGAGTAAATATAATTAATTAGTACATACGGAGTATGTAGATAGATAAGATCACGTACCCTGGCCTAACCAGATTGATTGACGTACAGTAATTAGTAGCAGCAGAGCGGAATATATATTGTATAAATAATCTAAAGGGTCAGGTTCGGTGTAATGCAGCTGCAACAGCGGGGATTTCACACACCACTAGCAACCTGACGACGGCATCTTCATCCTCGATGGCTACTACCACCGGCTCCGGAGGGACGACAAGCGGTGGTAGTCGATTCTCAACAGCAGCGGGAGCTTCTTCCGGCGGCGGCAGCGGCGAACACGACGACCCATTGTCGTCGTCGTCTGAAGAGGGGCAGATACTTCCCCACCCCAATTTGAGAGTCTTCACTTTTGCCGAGCTCAGGGCTGCTACCAGAAACTTCAGGAATGACACATTGCTGGGAGAGGGCGGTTTTGGCAAGGTTCACAAGGGTTGGCTGCTTGACACCTGCAGGGGCGGGGGCAACTCCTCCTCCTCCTCTTCCTCCAAGAGCGGTGGCAGTGGAACCGCCATTGCCGTGAAGAAGTTGAGTTCTGAGAGTTTGCAAGGCTACGAGGAGTGGGAGGTATATATATAATAAGTATATATTTCCCTTAATTAAGTAACTGCATGCTAGTTTTAAAATTTTGGATGGGATCGAAGTTGATGCATATATGTTTGTTTAATTGCAATACTTTGCAGTCAGAAGTCAATTTCCTGGGGTGTCTTTCCCATCCGAACCTAGTGAAGCTCATAGGATACGGGTGGGATGAGAGAGAACTGCTGCTTGTGTATGAGTTTATGCAAAAAGGAAGCCTAGAGAATCATCTCTTTGGAAGTAAGAATTCTTCGATTTGATTAATAACTATTAGCACTACGTACGTACGTAATGAATTAAGTTATTAGAAGATGATTAATGATGGATGGATGGGTGTTTTTAAATTGGTTATTAGGGGGTAGTGCAGTTCAGCCACTCCCATGGGAGATAAGGTTAAGAATCCTGATCGGTGCTGCTCGTGGTCTGGCCTTCCTTCACACTTCAGAGAAGCAAGTCATCTATAGAGATTTCAAGGCCTCTAACATTTTACTTGATGGCGTACGTGTGCCTAATTACCTGCTTAGCCTCTATATGTTATACATTCGTTGTTTAATTTATTATAGCTCTCTAGTGCTAGCTAGCTATATAGCTCTCCATCAATCAATCCCTCCCCTCAGTGCCCTATTCTTTTTTTTTTTTTAATTCCATGCATCATCCATCCAGTCATATAATGCCAAGATTTCGGACTTTGGTCTGGCAAAGTATGGACCTTCAGCTAGCCAATCACATGTGACAACTCGGGTTATGGGGACTGAAGGCTATGCTGCCCCTGAGTACGTTGCAACAGGTAGTATATATGACTCAAATTGCATCATATATGCACACTGCATTGATCTTATATATGACTCAAATTCCATCTTCTTTCTCAAAAGCTAAGAAAAATCAGATGCGAGAGTAATATAATGGGTGGTTGCTAGTTAACATGGGTGCCCCGGAGGGTGTGCAAAGTGGCCAACCGTACAGGTCACCTTAAAATTTAGGGCATCATATTTTTAAATTTGTTAATAATTTTAAAGCAAAAGTATTCTAAAAATATAAAATAGGGCACAAAATATAAATTTTGGACCGGGCCAATTTTATTTTTTCGTTTTTCAGATCGGCCCTGCTAATTAATATACATACTATACTATAATTGGGTGCTTGCTTGGTGTGCCGCAGGTCACCTGTATGTGAAGAGTGACGTGTATGGGTTTGGCATGGTTCTGGTAGAAATGCTTACAGGTTTGAGGGCTATAGACCCCAATCGTCCAAGGGAACAACAAACTCTGGTGAACTGGATTAGGCCACATCTAGCAGACAAGAGGAAGTTGAAGGATAAGATGGATTCTCGATTGGGAGGAAGGTATCCTTCTGGAGCTGCACTCCAGATTGCCCAACTTGCTCTTTCCTGTTTGGGATCTGAGCCTAAGATGAGACCTTCCATGAAACAAGTAGTGGAGACCCTAGAACAAATCGAGTCCACAAATGAGAGACCCAAAGAGCCAATAAGGCGACCAGCAAGGCCCGCTACTGCTGCTGCTAGCAGGAGGCATCAACATCGATCACAACAACAACACAACTACTAATCATCGATCATATAGGATCTAACTAATACATCTCCATGCTATATAAACATCCATGAATGACTTTCCCCCCACTTGTGCATGAAATCACTCGCCTAATTTGTTTCGAGTGTCTCATGTTCGATCACGTGTAGTTGCTTTGATCGTATAATGTAAATGAAGAAATCACACAAAGTAAGAGTAAAACATATATAGATTTATTCCCAAGATAAGAGTGACATGTTTTTATTTCTAAAAATAAAATTATTGCCTTGTTATAATGTGACATTTTACATTTTGTATCCCACAATGAGTTTGGTATATTATATGTTGATATTATTGACATTATGTCTTACTTTCTCCGTCCCAAAAAGTCTTTCCTGTTTACTATTACGGCCTCTCGATAACTCTAATTTGTTTGCGTGTTTTCATTGATCATTTGATAAAATAAAATATTTTTATCGCCTCTTATTTTATAGAGTTTTCGATGTAGTTTTTAAATATATTTTTTTATGTCTTATTTCCTTACCAATTTTCAAATAAAATCATTTTAAAATCTTTGTAGTTTTGCACGTTAATTAAAACAGGAAATTCTTTCTGGGACAGAGGGAGTATTTTGAAATAAAAACATTATTGACATTATGTCATAATTAATTCAGAAAAATTTTCAACATCCTCCTAATTTAACTTCAGTCAAGAAAAAAAACATTTTTCTATGGGTAAATGTTACCATAGAACATAAACCTCTGCCTACTCCAAGGACTAGTGAGTGCGTCGCCAGTACTTTGGATTGAAAGCAAAACGAAGAAAAATGCGCGGCAGTATGTTGTGCTTGGTTTCGCAAATAAAGAAATCGTGCGCAGAAGGGAAATGGCAAGACGTTCTTTTACACTACCAATCACTAGGGAGGGCAGGCATCCAGGTGACTGACATCTCAGCATTCCCTCCCATTCTCAAGGCCTCCTTAAACCTCTCCCTCTCCTCCACTTATGGCGCCTCCTTCCACGCATCTCTCCTCAAGCTTGGCTTCGCCGAAGCATTCGCCCCCGTGGGGAATTCCATCGTTGATTTTTACTCCAAATCCGGACGTTTGGGTGCTTCCGTGCGTGCTTTCCAGTCATTGGCCAAACCTGATTCCGTGTCCTGGAATGTAATCATCCACGCTCACCTTCACCAGGGCGCTTCTCCTCGGGAAGGGTTGAGATTGTTTGATCAGGCGCGCGCTGCTGGCTTTCAGCCCAACGTCTCTGCGCTGGTTCTTGTGCTTCAGACTTGTAGGAATCTCGCGTCTTTCCACCATGGGCAAAAGATTCACGGCTTCTTGGTTCGAAGTGGGTTCGGAACTGTATGCTCCGTGCAGAACTCGCTGCTGAGTTTCTATGCAGAGCTCAGGATGGAACTTGCATGGGAGCTGTTCGATGAAATGAGTGAGAGAGATGTAGTTTCTTGGAGTGTGATTATTGGGGGTCTTGTTGGGAGTGGAGACGCTGCCCTTGCTCTTGAATTGTTCAAGGAGATGTTATCTGATTGGGGGATTAGACCGGATGGCCAAATAGCCGTGAGTGTGCTCAAGGGCTGTAGCCTTTTGGGGGACATTAGAATGGGATCACTGGTACATGGTCTTGTGACGTCTAGAGGTTTGGGCCAAGATTTGTTTGTTGGGAACTCTCTGGTTGACATGTATTCCAAGTGTAATGACATGGGTTCTGCCTTACAAGCCTTCGGTGAGATCCCTCTCAAGAATACAGTGTCCTGGAACTCCCTGTTGTATGGGCTTGTCCAAAGCGGCAATCATGGGGACGCTCTTCTCCTGTTTGATTCCATGGGTAAGTCTGGAGCAGAAGCCGATGAGGTAACATTAGTAAATCTACTTCAGGTATGCAAGCATCTTGGTGATCCTTATCCATGCAAGTCGATACATTCCAGAATATTCCGACTAGGTTATGAGTGGAACAAGTTGGTTATGAATTCTGTACTTGATGCTTACGCCAGGCACGGACTCATTACACTTGTTTGGAGACAGTTTAGTAGCATGGGAAGACGGGATGCGGTGACCTGGAGCACCATGATCGCAGCCTTCACTAATCAAGGCATGCCCGATGAAGCATTTGATGTCTTTCAAGAGATGTGCAGTAAATCAGAAAAACCCAATGCGATTACCCTGCTCAATCTTCTAGAGGCTTGCTCTATTACAGCTGATCTGAGAAGATCAATGTGGGCTCATGCCATTGCAATAAGAAGATGCCTGGCCTCCGAAGTTGCAGTTGGGACTGCAATATTAGATATGTACTCAAAATGTGGAGCAATAGAAGCTTCGAGAAAAGTATTTGAATGCATACATTGCAAGAACATCATTTCCTGGAGTGCTATGATCGCAGCATTTGGAATGAACGGACTATCAAACGATGCTTTAGCCTGTTTCAATGAGATGAAAATGCATGGGCTGAAACCCAACCAAGTAACCCTTCTTTCTGTGCTTTCAGCATGTAGCCATGGAGGGCTGATTGAAAATGGGATCTCTCTCTTTAGAAAATCAGTGCATGATCTTGGAAGTGAATTGGAGGCAGAACATTACTCATGCCTTATTGATCTGCTGGCTAGGGCCGGAAAGGTTGAAAGTGCAAGAGAAATAATCGAGAGGCTACCTCAAGATGGAAAAAAGCCCGGTAAAAGTGCATGGTATGCAATCTTAAGTGCCTGCAGAATTCATGAGAACAATGAGGTTGGATTTGGTGTTCTCCCTCAGCTCCTTGAATTAGAACTATCAAACACATCTGCATGTTCGCTCGCTTCAAGCATGTACGCTTCTAGTCATTTGTGGACTGATGCCACCAGAATGAGATGGATGATGAATGATAGAAAGGGCATGGGGACCAAAGGCGCTTACAGTTTAGTGCGTATAGATGGAAGGACATGTAAGTTCTTTGCAGGCAATAACCGTAGCTCGTTGCCAGATAAACTGTGCCTAGCTATTGCACAACTGCACTCATGTATAAAATTTGATTGTGGAGTGTGATGCTATCACAATTTTCAAGTAGAAGATGATGGAGGAGCTTGAAATTAAAGGAGTACGAAACAGATCTCTTTCTTACACTTTTGTTCGAAGAATTTACTGATTTAGGTCTTTAATTTTCCTTACGTTTTCGCTTATGTGCCAGTGCAGGAATATATCTTTATTAAGTGGAGCTGAAGCCGGTGCTCTATGTATTTTTTGTATCTTCAATGCCCAAGAAAATGAATCCATACTGCTAAGCGGAGTGGATAGAGTGTTTGATTGCATGTCTTTTAGACAACCAGTGGATATATATACTCTATACATTCTTCAAGATCAAAGAAACTTCGTTGGATGGCACCCGGCCTCGACTGAATCTCTTGAATGGAGTGGCCTACCTCTTGAGGTGCTGTCTGCATTGCTTTCAAAGTTTTAGGTGTCTCAATAGTGAATTTCATGAAGATCAAAGGTAACCTTTCACCAATAAACATACAAGTACAAATGTAAAGAAAGGTGGAGAAATGTTGCATATAACATTAAAAAACAGATAATGTTGCTCTCATTAAAATCATACCCACCACACGCCTAACCAAAATGAAAAGATGTAATCTGATAATTGATTCTATTGAACCATACGACAGTCGACAGGAGGAGCAACACCAAACGTATCAATAGTTTTAGACATAATATAATTATTACAATTAAGAGAAATCAGGCTAGCTGAGCGCGGTGACTAGGTAACTTCTGAGCTAGATTAGATAAAAACTACCCCAACCCTAAGAAAGAGAGTCTGTATTGTATTTATAGTTAGAACGACTAAACTAGTGCGTGCTTAGAGAGCCAATCTTAACTCCAAATTAGGCAGACCAGAGGGGGCAGAGTTGTGAAGATCAGGTAGTACTAGTGAGGGTGAAGAATGGTGATGATGTTCTTGTTTTGGCCGTGGTGTGGCTGTAGGAAAGTTCAAATCCAGGTAGCCAGTGGTGACTTTATTGGGATGAGGAGGAAACTTATTGAGCCCCCAGTGGCACCGCTTGTGTCCACCAAGAGCCTGACCGCTAGAGAAGACCTTCAAACAGATGGTGCACGTGTGCACCTCTTTCTCATCCTCCCCTGCCCTCGACATTGGCAACGCTCCTCCTCCTCCTCCTCCTCTACCAGGTTCCTTGTAGTTGATAGCAGCAGCGGCAAAACAACCCCCCTCCTTGACTAGTACTACATTATTATTGTTCTTGTAATTACTGCTGCTGGCTTTGAGAGGCTGCTGCTGTGGAGACACAAACACTTTCTCCGAGCATTTGGAGGAGGATATCGATGCTGCCTGCATCTTGTTGTCATGAACACGGAACGCCGCCCCTGGTAGTTGCTGCTGGATGGGACTCGGATTCTGGTGGCCCTCGTCGCCGTTAGACAGCAGCAACAAGCACGCTGCAACCTCATAGTCATCGCCATCTCCTCCACGGCAACAGAGACTGCTAGTGCTGCTGCTCTGAGGAGACATGGTGGTGGTGGTGGTGTTTGGTGGAGGAGGAGGGTTGATGCCGCGCCAATGCCTTTCCGGATGGCAGCGCATGTGCCCATAAAGAGCCTTCCTCGACCAGAACCTCTTGCCGCACTCCGTGCACTGCTGTAGTGATGAGTCGGCGGCGGCGCTTGTAGGGCCCTTGCACTTGTTCGCCGCAAGTGGTCCCCGGCCACCGAGGCACGGCAACTTCTGAGTCTCCTCGGCTGCACTCATCACCATCATCGTTTTGCTTCTCCTCCTCCTCCTCCTCTTAATGGGTGGTGGTTTCTCCTGGGGCTGTGGCGTGTGGGGCTCGTTATAATCTTGATCACCATGGCCGCCGCCGCCGCCAATAATACATCTTCCTCCCAGCAGCAGACGATCAGTATTAGACATAACTATAAAGGGGTTACGGTTACCAGCATTGTGATGATGATTATTGTAATAATAATCCCCGCCATGGGTCGTCGTCATCATCATCTGATCTCTCGATCTCCCTGTTTACTCGATCGTGGATGAAGATTATATTAATTGCTGGAGAGAAGGAAAGAAAGAAAAAAAGGCGAAAGAGATGGGGTATGTCTTCCTTATATAATATTATTACGTACGGAGTAATAGTAAGAAGGTGGAGGGGAAGATTTGTTTGCAGCGGTTACTAGCAGCTCTCTCTCGTCTCTATCCCCTCAATAATCATTTCCACGCACGTACTCGTGCATTAAAAAAATAATAATAATACTTAACGTGCTTAATTACTACTCTCACGTTGTGCTTAATTAATTATGAACGTGCCTCGATCGATTAATTTAAACAGATTCAATTCAAAACGTTAAAAAAAATAAAATTAGTAGTTATTATACTCTCTAGTTCTCTGTTAGTTTTGTCGTTCTTATCTCCAGCACCAGCAGAGGATGGGAGGAGGGATAAAGGTTGCGGCGAAAGTGTAGGAGGATGTTCCGGAGACACAATCCCATAATATGTGGAGCGGCCGGCAATTACCAGATAATTACTACTCGTGTGTGGGTGGGTAATAACGGCTATGGTTAACTTACAGGTTTAATTTTTTTTAAAAAAAATAATCGTTCCTACTGTTTTTTTAGGGGTAGTTAGTTATAGCATTCAACCTTTTGCTTCCTAATCAGTTTCTTCTATTTAATTCAAACAATATTATTCCTTCTGGTTAGATTAAAGCTCTTGATTTAGAATCTATTGTACCATGCACAAATTGTATTAATCGCGTGTGACTGATTCAATTCCAAAATATCGCGTGTGAATTGTACAATTGTGATACATGATAATATGGTATTCATATTCAAAACCTTTAATTTATACACTTGACACAAAATTATATTGGCTACAAAGAAAAACAGGACACTTGAAGGACACTTTTACTCACATTTTAGACATTATTTTCAATAATTGTTGGGATAGCACTTTATTTTAGACATTTGACTTGTTTAGAACAATCTTTTTTATTAACAGTGTCGTTTTTGATAAAATTTTAATTATATAGATTAACTTTTTAACTTTTAACGTTATTGTTAAACAAATCCATTATATATAAACCACCCTAATTTATATAAAAAAAACAATCTTAAATCTAGTCATTGCAATTTTTTCGATTCATATTATAAATTTAATTAATACAAAAAATACAATTCCTGATGGATTAGGGATTTTTCCTAATCCAATATTATTTGAACAGTACAAGAAATCCCAATTTTATCTAACCCAAGATATAAATCAGATAAATAATTCAAGACAGAACCAGAGATATATGGACAGAAGAATTGTTGGGATTTTAAGCGCGTAAGACACCGAAAAATATTGAGAACACCAGAAAAATGAGAGAACAAACACAAGAAGAATATATGAGAGAAAAAATTATATCTTCACTATTTCAGAACGATACACAAAAAACTCTCCCTGTTTACAAGTGCTAAATACCAGACACTTATAAACAGATCTTTCACACCCTACACCCGGATGTATTTTTCGAATAACTAAAAACCAGTTACTCCCCACACTCACTCACACAATGTTGGTGATATCTTGTGTAACACCTCTCTCTTTTTTCTCCTTCCCCCCCTACGGTATTGTTGCATGACTTTTAAATAGCCAAATGCATAATATATGGGAAATATTCTAGCTCACACTTCCAAGAGAAAGAAACAAAACTCTTAAAGGTT